CCCCAAAACCCCAAAACCCCTTCAGTGTGATTTTTAGTTAATCAAATTTAAATTGCTTTAATCAAATATACTGAATACTTATTTTAAAAGTCAAGCTCATTTATTGTTTCCATTTTTATTCTTTTTGGAGGCATCTAATATCTTCTAATATTGCCTCTCAAGAGCAATGTAAATTGAACCATTTTCCTCGTTAGCATCATTTTGTTCATTAAATTCAATAATCTAATGCCTAAATAAATAGTAGAGCAAATCCAAAAACAGATAAGGTAAATCCCTCTCGAATATATTCATAGTACATAACTAGTTAAATGTTATAGTCTCATTATCTGTGAAATAGCTCTCTCTCATATAATCATTGAAAAGAACTTGCATTGTTAAATCTTTGCTCTAATTATCAAGTATTTACTCATTTTACTTAGCAGTCATTTTTCCTCTCTTAGAGAAAAACATTCCTGGTGATTCATTTTCTTCTCTTTTGGATGCAATTTCGCATACATATTAGACAAACCCCTTGCGCTTTTTATCTTTTAATTATTTGGTTTCATTCTATTGTTCAACAAAATTGAAATGCTTAGATTAATTTTACTTCTTTAATTCAAATGTATCTTATTGTACATTGAAGGCATGCTTTGCTTTTCTTGTATCTTCAATCTTAGACATAGGAGTATTTCCAGCAGAATTAGAATTTATGCTTTGGAAATTTTTGCTATGATCTGATTACTTTGGAGTTTAATGGATGCTGTTATTTCAAATAGCATTTGAGAACCCTGTGTCTTTTATTTTATGACTCTTTGTGATTGATGAATCTCTTGCCACATTTCTTTAGCTTATTAAACTAATTGAAGACACTTGCTGCTAATTTTGTTAAATTATTGATTGATCCTGCTTTGATTGTATTTTGTAAATCAGATCGGAAATTCTAGAATGTCTGAATTTAGCATTATTACTCAATCTCAGTTAATTATTAAACTTACTAGGGTATCCTCGCTTTACATTTGATAATGTTCTTCTTTCACTCGGATTCTTAAAAATATGTTTGACAAAGTTATTAATATCTCGCTATAGATAGTAATCTTAATCATAAAAGTTGTTTAAGTTGTCAGAAAGATCTTTCATACAAATTATACCATCTTAATTTAAGTCGAAAATCTGAAAGCAGAATTTCATAATCTCATCTCGACCTCCTTAAATAAGAATATTAAACTTCTCAAAAAGCTCATTAATAGTTACAACTTGATTGAACTCGAAGAAATCCAATATTCGATCTGTATATAGTTTCGTGAATCGGAGCTCTAAATATCTCTTGATAAATTTCCTCTGAATTTAGGTCAACTTAAAATCTGATCCAGTAGGCGACCAATTAGATTTTTATGAAAATTTTGGAGCAAGGAAAGTCATTTTAATATGAGTTTATACTCTAAAGTCTGAAAAAGCAATTTTCTTGTATTATCCCTCAATCTCTTCTTCATATTTATGTAATTAAGATTACTTTCTATGACTAGTATGTGCAGCCTATAGATCAATATCTGATTAATTTTGCATTAAAATCTTGAATTTCATTCTGTCGTTTTGAAAGACCTGAAGCCTGTTATTATCTTACTAGGGAGTTTGAAAAGTCTCTGTTGAAATTTAATCAATTAAAGCAGTTTAATTATTAAAGTTATTAACATCTATTTTCAAGGACTGATTATGTCTAGTTTTTTTAACTGATGTTACTTTTTCCGTAAAGACCACCGTAGGCCTATTGACTTTAAGCAGGCTAACAGTTTCACTATTATTTTTATCATTACTCTTTCTAGAGTCAAAGTTATCTAATTTGGGAATAGGGATAGCTTCATCCTCATAATTTTGAATCGGCTTTAAAGAACGCCTTCCTTCTCTCAGTTTAAATCGGTTTTTGGGACTCGGATTTAGACTTACTATCAATTTATGCTTTTTTGGTACAAATAACTCCTTTGATCCTATAAATAAGCACATATCTCTCCCTAGCTTTTTATCATAAATTACCCCATTTTATGACTCATTTGTGACACTTCCATCTCTTCTATCTGCAAGATCAATGCTATTCAGCTTCACTCTACCGGTATTTCTCAGATTATTCTTAACTTTAGTCTCTATTTTCAAGAATACGTTATTTTATTGCGGCATGTAATCCAAATATTTATCTTTAAAAAAGGTTTTTCTCATAAACTCATCCTTTATCGTTGAAATTTGATTGCCATTCTAATCTTAGTTATTTTCTTACCATCCCCAATTCTTGCCTCCATAAAAAGATGACTGAAGTGACTATGATGGTAGATTATTGTAAGTCTTGCGTTCAGAATTTTTTCTTTTCTTATTTGATGAGGTTGAAAAGAACCTATCAGAGGCTCTCTCTATCATTATTTACTCAGTCATAATGCTGTCGATAATTAATTAAATAAATAAATCTCTCTTTATCCTCTTAATCTTTAATTTTTTTACTTTTGGGGTTTTGGGGTTTTGGGGTTTTGGGG